TGTGTCTTACTGATCAGTTTGACTTCTATTTTTTTCCCTCATCGGCATGCTTTCGTTTCGCACATGGTAAATGTATTCTTCGTGAAAAAACTTGTATTTCGTTGAAACGGGCGTAACCATTGATATCCATCTCACATACTCATTCTAATAAGATTTCAAAATCTGTTATTATTATTATTATTATTATTATTATTATTATTATTATTATTGTTGTTGTTGTTGTTGATGATGATGTTGTTTCTTTGCCAATCAAACCTAAAGTTTGTTTAATATATATAGGCAGGTCTACCTTGAGTTGGTGTTAGGTTTTCGACTGTATAGGACTCCAAAACAATAGGGCAAACTTTTGTATAAATCATCTATCTACTTCATATTTTAATATTGTCGTTTTATTCGGTTGTATACATTAAAATCGTATGGTTCAGTTGACTTAAGCGTTGTTCCTCTTAACAAACCACTTGAGTTTAATTCCTATCTGTTAACTACTTATTTGAAGATTAATTTTTATTCCAAATTATATTTTCAACCACTAATTTATGCTTCAGGCTTCATAACCAACTATCCTCCAATGATTTTTTCTAAATCATTTTCCAAAAGTTACATATTAACTCATCAACTTTTATATATTTGTATTTGTTGTATTTGTTACTTCTTAATTAATTTAAATTAGTTTTTAGTTTTCTCTCATGACAATTCACCCTTTTAAATTATTTTGTTGTATATAAAAATGTTATTAGAAAGACCCATTTTTATTATTTGCAAAAGATATTTAAAATCAAAGGACCTCATCCGGTTATATTGGTGTTGCTTTTCATAAATTTAACCAGAATGGTGTAATAAACCTCTAAAATATGTCGTTTTAAACAAACTTTAAGTTTGATTTAACCAGAATGGTGTAATACGCATCGTGTATAGGGAATATACATTACAGACTCACCTAAACTTATGTAATAAACCTCTAAAATATATCGTTTTAACAAGCTAAATATACCCAATTTGGTTTCACTTGGTAAATATATCATTCTCCATAACATTTCATTCTTTCATTATCGTTTTATCATCTCCATTTTATTTCCTCAATTATCGTTTATTACTACATGTAAGTGAACATTACTAAACCCTAAACCTAAACCTAAACCCTAAATTTAAACCCTAAACACTAAAGCTAAACCCTAAAACCCTAAATCTAAACAATAAACCATAAACCTTAAACTCTAAACCCTAACCCTAAATCCTAAACCCTAAACATAAACCTAAACCCTAAACCCTAAACTCTAAACCCTAAACCCTATTCTGTCGATCTTGAATTTTCATCTTGAAGTATTAATCGTGAATCCATTAACCGTAATCTTTATATAGTAAAACAATGTATTTTCAAGAGGTTTAGTACCTAAGCTTAGGTGAGGCTGTAGTGTATATTCCCTTTTCCCTATATATATATATATATATATATATATATATATATATATATATATATATATATATATATATATATAATACGCATCATGTTGGATATTGCGACTCTAAGATATTCATAAAACGTCCGGTAATTACTTCGTTAAACAATTTTGTATTTAATCCTTTGAAAAAGAAAGTGATCATAACCTAAAGTGTTTTGACCAATAATGAAGAAACAAATTTGATGTATTACTGTATTAGAGTTAGGATGTTTTTAAAAAATGGTTTGGTGTTTAAGTTTAAAATTTAATTTGGTCAATGTTCTTTCACGAGTAATTTTAAAAGGAAATGGGCCAATGGGCTTCAACGGGAAATTTAATTAGATAATAAACGTATTCATAGAACATGATCATCCGAGGCGACTACTCTTAAAATGTTATAGGTAAAATTATATAACATATTAATTTCAGTAGCGATTTAGGAAGAATGTCAAGTATTGAGCCTGGGCTAATCCGCTTAAGTTGTGTCGTTTCTGGTTTTAATGTCCACGTCTGCTATTAGCTGGATTCGCTTCTACTATTTTAGTTCTCAAATTTCTGTTTGCCATATGTTTCATCGATTATCCCTTCCACGTTCCCAACACCGCTTTGCTTATAAGTCTCTTTCTTCCATCTCTTGTTTTCTCTTTCGTGGGGTTGTCGATTTAGGAAGGAGAGTTTCGTCTTTGAATTTTTTTTTCTCCAGGGGTCTCTATTGTTTACCATTTCAATTTTGTGTTGAAATCTCTCTCTCTCTCTCTCTCACACTCTCTCTCTCTCTCTCTCTCTCTCTCTCTCTATATATATATATATATATATATATATATATATATATATATATATATATATATATATGGAAAAATGAATATACCCTTAAAGGTATATAAGCTTAGGTACCCAAACTCACCATATTATATCGTTTTATATCATATATACACATTGTAATTGTCCAATGGTCTTCTAATTCAACTTTTAACTTGATTTAATTCCAAGATTATTATAAATTTTACATTTATCTTCATTTTACATAATTTTCATTTTTAACTATAATATATATAGCTTAGTAGGTCTTCGGCATACATATGTAATGTAAGAAGAAGATAATAGTGAAATTTCAAAAATCTTGAAAGTAAATCAAGTTAGGGGTTGAAGTTTAAGACCTTATAATGATTCTATCAAACAAAATGATGTATTTTGGTAGGTTTGGGTACCTAACCTTATATACCGTTAAGGGTATATTCACTTTTCCCATATATATATATATATATATATATATATATATATATATATATATATATATATATATATATATATATATATATATATATATATATATATATATATATATATATTGTATTGATTTCAACATCTGGGTTCCTGGATTGATTCGGTCATGGCCGGAAGGATTTATGTATTTCTTTTATTTGTCTTCAATTTTGTAATTAATTTTTTTACATTAATTTTACAAGTTCGTAGGTTGTTATTCGCGGTGAGGTCAAAAAGCTAACAGTTTCACTATGCATCTGAACTTCTAGATGAAATGTTTAAACCATGGTACCTTAGTCCTTGAAGGACAATAACAAAGCAACATCCCAGAACCAATCAAGGTTGCATACGAGATTCTCTAATATGTGTGATATTATGTTCCCTAACTCCGGTTTCACCATTGTAATTTCATATATTTGGTAGAAAAACCGCATCATCCACTTCATTAATGTGTAACTTGTAAGTTATAAACTCATTGAAATGTACATTCTTACTGCTGTTCCATTTAATTTTATAATTTTGTAGTGGATATGAGTGCCACTCTTTCTATTAGAGGCCCTATTTGTTGGTAATGAATGTAGAAGCCTTTTTTTTTTCTTCTATCCATCAGTCATAACAAGGTCTTGGCAGCCTATAAAGCGATACAAAAAGCTTATCTTAGATATTTTCCTTAGATCTCCGCTTAGTTTCTTTAATAGTTCTAAATAATGTTACTATAAGAGTTATAATTGATTGACTAGTGATAACAATGCGACTTATTTATTATCTGAAAAAGGGTGAACAACAAAATGATCAAAAGATTGGGAAGCTCTGTGAATATGCTGGGAAAGAATCCTTTATGTGTTTTGAAGGTATCTTTTGTGTTTCTAATGTGATGTATAATAGGACCATATGTGAGTTCAGTTATAGTTCATTAATCTGTATACTTTGTCTATACCATGAATACGCATATGAATTTGCTTTTGTCCTTATGCTAGGCCCATTTTTTTCAAATAGTTTGCTGCGTATCATTATAGAAGGGTTTAGGGTTGATGGAATGCATCTTGATGAACTTAGGCCCTTGTATTGTGAAGGAGGCACTTGGCATGAATTGCATGGGTCACCCATGTTTTCACGTAGAGATACACATATAGGTTATTGTTAATTAACATAGTAATATATGCCACATAACATAAATATATAATATAATAAATTTATAGTTTATTTATGGAAATATTTGTTACCAGGTTTTATGTATAGTTATTATTAAGTATAAAACTTGAATGATCGAATAGATTCACACAGGTAAATGAATCAGGAACACAAAATGAAGATCAAATGTGTCAAATGATTAATAATCACAATCTTAGAAGTGCTCGATGAAGAACTGCTACTTTAAAGGCTGTGTAGGGTTTACAAGATTGACAAATCGACGATTACAAGACACAATTCATGCATGCACATTAAATAGTAAAACCCTAATAATAATTAACGGGTGGACAGGCCCAACCTGGTATCCAAATGGACTAAACAATACAAACTTAATGATGCAACATATAAGACCCAACAATCTCCCCTTTTGCGTCAATTGAGGCAGGAGACCTTCACTGAGGAGTTCGCTTCTAAACTTTAAAAAGCTTCGGAATGATGCTCAGCAGGGCCTTGTGAACCTGGATATACCAAAGGATCATATCGGAGAAACACTTATTATCCCCTTTACGATTCCCTTTGCATTTATCCATAAACTCCAGGATGTATTACAGACAAGATGTGGTGTAAAGACACTTATCTTCAAGATAGAAGCAAACTTTGTGGAAATCTGCATATGTTCGCTCTTTCATTTCAAAAGCCATGTACCATCCATCCTTTCGCATTTTCCCCGGTTTCATTTTGTCAAAATCTTCTGGAGCTTCCTTGGGGAGCACAGACAACCTCTTTCGCATAACAATTGCAATCTCAACATCCATTTTGCCAATCTCTTGGATGTACGAAAGTAACATTCGCTTGAGATGAGCAACAACGGGTTCATACTTTTATTCATCCTTGAGCAACATGTTGAACAACAAAATTCAATCATACGGGTTCAGGCACAGTAGGTCGGTAAGTGTAAATTCGCATACCTTATTCGTAGAACCTCTAGCAACCTTAAAACGGGCATTTGGGAAGCTATCAGTTTCGATTAGACCTGAAACCTTCACAATAGTTATCTTTTTCCCACTCCACATTTCATACTGAGGCTTCATGTGCTTCAAGTAGAAGGAGAAGAGCATATGTCCAGCGTCATTGTTAGTCAGAGTAACATTCGCAACTTTGATGAAGCTACAAAACTTGAAGGCTTTTCGGAGTGATTGGAAAATCCAGTTGAGAATCTTGTATGTTCTGCATGTCGAAAGATACAATATGCTCTAACAAATATTGTCTTGGATTGTTGATAGCCTCATTCATTATTCGCTCCAAAGTACACAATGGAAATAAAAGCTTTCGAGTTTCCAGTGTGACTTGAGCTTCTCGTTCAGCTTTCTCTTTCTCTTCTTCTTCTTTCACAATCAGATTATGTTCATCGATCTGAGATTCACGAGCCTTCCTTATTTTTAGCTCATGCTCATCAGGTTCTTCTTCTTCACTATCATCAATGATCCTCTCATCAGATATCTTTTCTTTGCCTTTCGAACCCGAAGGTTCATTATCCTTCGTTTCGTTTTCAGACTTTGGCTTAAAAGTTGTAGTGGATGGTTTCAGAGTTTCTTTCTTGGATTGCTTCATAGGCTCTCCCTTTTGTTTCGGAAGTGAGCTTGGATCCAAAACACCTTCAATCCTTTTGAGCATCGCAAACACAGGGAAATTTTTTTCAGCTAGATGCTTCTTCACGGTGATCGTGATTAAAGAGTCACGGGTCTGAATAATGTCGGAGAGTAAGGCGTTCACATCTGCCACACAACTCTTCATCACTTCCTTTTTCAGATAACAGAGTGTTAATCTGTTTCTCATTTTGTTCCAGCTTGACAGTCAGAACCTTCACTTTTTCTATCTTGACTGGGAGCTTATCCATGATTGTGTTCTCAATGGCTAAGTCTTCATGAAGCTTGTGTATCTTGGAAGTTATGGAGGAGTTGAGCTCAGAGTTTTCAGATTGGATGACAGTGCGAATCTTTTCTAGTGCATCCTTCTCAGTGCGAGAAGTTGATCTAAGGCTGGAAATTACTTCATTCGCTTTCACAGTAATTGACTCGAAAGAGTTCTCAAAAGTGATCATAAAGGATCGAGCATTAGTATTTAGTTTATCGACTTTTTCGGTCGTTTCCTTGCATATTGACACTAAAGCCTCAACAGCTTGATTTGTCTTGTCAAGGTTCACAGAATGTTCCTTCGTCATTGTTTCAAACAAGGCCTTGAAAGTTTCTTGAGAGTAATCACCACGAGAGGAAGTTTTAGTGGATTCAATCAAGGATTCCAACTTTTCAGATAGAGCCTTTAACTGCCCTCGTGTGACTGGAGATTTATCATCGCTTTCTGTCCGAATGTTGAATGGACTGTAAGTGAAACCTCCAAAATCTTCTTCATCATCACCATGAATACTATCTGGATCGTCTTGGCATAGAGGTGAGATGGGTGGTGTAGAATGACCAATTGTGAAACTTGAGGCACCTGCCCCCGCATAAGATGTGTTGACAGAGACTGGAGGTTCACTCGTGGCAGTGGTTGTAGTTGCTGTGGAATCTGTAAACATTGGAGTAGACAAAGGAACAGTGGTGTGTGGTTGCGAAACACCCACTGGAGGACATGGTGCTATGGTAATGGGAGTGGTAGTGGTTTATTGGAGAGTGAGGAGGTGTGAAGCTTTGGAAGAACACATCATAAATTAGAATAGATGTGGGTATTTGAAAAGATACCTTAGGGTTCATTCTTCGCAGGCTTTGAAACTTGTGGTTGAGAAGTAGCAGCAGTATCAACATGTTCTTTGTGAACATCTTCTTGGACCAAAATATCAGAAATGGTGTTGGACTGCAAATTTTCGTGGTCATTTGGCATGAGAGTACGTGGCCTACGAGCCACTTGCTTGACCAACTCTTTTCTTTCTGCCCTTCTTTGGTTTGTATGCTTCTTCAAGGACCTTTTGTACTTCATTGGTCATTGGACGAAGACTAGAGGCTAGTAGACTGCAATAGGTTCACATAACTTCACTCGCTAGGATCGGGATGTTAAGCCGATCGATGACCCTTTGAACAATGAGAGTCCAAAAACAAGCTCAGGAAATCTCACCGTGTCCTGTAGTTGAAAGGGTACTCTAGACCAATTGAGCTAGAAGCACTGAGCCATAGTGAAGATTGATTCCCGAAAAGATACCGTACATAATCGTCATGAAGAGCTTGCTTGCACAATCAGAGCTAGTTACACTCTCAGAGAAGCTTTTGAAAAGAAGGGTAAACAATTTGCTCCACATTGGCGGTAGGTTTGACTTCTTAAACTTTGAGACGGTGGTCAGAACTTCCTTGTACCCCATCTAGTAAAACATCTCCAAGATGGCAGAGTTGGAGACAATCTTAGGGTCAACAAGGTCATGACCTTGAGGAAGCCCTAGTAGGCTACAAAACCTCGATTTCGAGATGTGTGTTTTCTTGTTAAAGATTTTGAATGTAATCATCTACTCACCTTTTTGGTAGCTAGCTGTTGAATAGGCCTTGGACAGATGAACCAAAGGAACGATTTCAAATTTCGTCAGTGCAATGACCAGTGGGGAATAGCGGAGGCACTCGATGAAGGGTTAAAGAAAATTTTCATATTTAGCATGATCAAGGTCCAGAATAAGATTCTAGTTTACCTTGATGTTGAGAATGGATGATTGCGCCATTTGTTCTGCGATGGAAGGGGTTTCTGATGAAGCTACCATGGATGCTTGTTATAATCGCCCAGAGGGTTTTGATTGCTTTTGAAAGTGGTAAGTAATATTGAATCGTCAAAATCCTTTTATACCGTTTAGTAAGAGAGAGAAATCCAGCGGTTGGCTACATCGAATACTGAAAAGTCGCCTAAAAAGGCATGAGTGACAGCTGTGACGTATGCCAGGCGGCGTCACATCAGTGTCAGTTTCAAATTTTCATCCACCCAAGTCCTATCCTTTTGAAATGTCATTTTAGTTATGCCCTTTCTCAACCAATTCAGTTATCAACTTTCGCAATTAAACGCCATAAATTGTTCTACAAAACTGAAAGTAATCATAAGTACCACGAGCCAGACTTTTGGAAAATCACAAGGATCTTCGTGCGAGAGTGTGCCAAAGATAAAGAAATAAACAATATTATACTAAGGGTTTCCAATGATGTCTATTAAGACATGGAGCAGATGGATCCCGGGCAATGATCTCTTTCTTCGGAGTCAAGAGAGATTCTAAAGTGTGTGTGTGTGGTTTCCTATTGAATTATGATCATTTTTTGTTGAAAAAAAGTGAAAAGCTTCTTTTGATTAAGCTTAAAGGGTGGCTTCATCTTCAACCAAACTACGATACTTGACATAATTCTGAACGTTCGACTGAAGTACTTGTTTGGCCTATTTAGCCATAAGAACAAGTATGCTTTAGAATTAATTTAAGTGACTTGTATAAGTATAGAAATCTCAAGAAAAGTAAAAACTAGATCTATTGGGAATAAATGTCTTAGGACAAGAAAATTTCATTAAGATTGCACAAAAAGAAAAAGAGATTTCATGGTACTGACCACGAAGGTGGACATTCGTTAGTTCCTTGGTGAAAAATCTAGAACATGTATATTGTTCACCATCAATTCTTAAATATGTGTTGGATTTAAGGTTTCACTAAATTCATGGTGATAACGAATTTAAGATCACAAACACAGAATTTGTTGTAACCATAAACCTTAGTGGTAATATCTGAGAGTCTAGAGGGTTACATTCATGTATGTGAAAGTCATGGAGAAGTAGTGGGAGGTGGTTCCAAAGAAATAATGTACCTCTACTATGCGAAAGTGACCAAGCAGGCAACCCTTAACTCAATGGAGAAGAGACATGTAGCTCTTGACTTATGTGAATGAACAGCCTTATTAGGAAGACACGATTAGTGTTATCGGTTCATTAAGGCTTCAACATACAGTCTTTGAAGCTTCGGACTACATGCAACAACATGCTTCGAGGGACACTTAACTAGTGCAAAGATTATAAAATTTATACTTGCCCTATCATTCATAATTGAGATCACCAAGATATGTACCTTCAAATTATCTAATATTTTTGGTACTTTTGAATAATTTATGAAAATAAATAAGTAATGAAAATAAAGGTTCTATGAGGACTTCTGGCCATATAAGATGAACAATGACTTGATGGAAAAGTACCATCAACAAGCTCGTCAAGAGAGGTATGAAATTGTGAAGTATTTCATTACTAGTAAGATAAAGGACAGAGAATCCATCATGACCCACTTGCAACACATGAAACAATATGTGGATCATCTGTTGAAGCTCAATGTGAACTTCAATGAGGAATTGGCTATTAACATATTCTTACACTCATTGACTAGCTGTTATGATCAGTTTGTAATGACTTGTCATCTGAACAAAAAGGAAACCACATTGAGTCAACTAAAAAGTTTTTTGAGAACCGTCGAGAATGGAATGAAGGGAAAGAGTATTGCTTCCACTCCTACTATAGATGCTCCGGTCTTGGCCATTGGGCAAGGGAAGGGGAAGAAGAGGAAAGCTCCCATGAAACAAAACTGGAAGGGAAAGTCTCAAGTCGAGTCGTCAAGCAATGGCCCTAAAGGCAACTCTAGTTCTGAAGCTCCCCTTGCCTCTGACCCCAAAGAGGCAACTTGCTTCTACTACCATGACAAAGGGAATTGGAAGAGAAGTTTCCCCAAATACTTGCAAGGTATAAAGGATGGCAAGGTTAAGCCAACCTCGACATGTATTTACACTATTCTATCTAAAAACTCATCACATTCCAATTCTTGGGTCGTTAATACAGGATGTGGTTTGCACACTTATTCTGACTTGAAGGGGATAAGAAGAAGTAAGGATGTGGAGCATGGGAAGATGAACCTGTTTATGAGCAATAGGAGATCATCGTCTGTTACCAAGATTGGGGTTTACTCTTTAGTGCTTTGTAGTAGGTTACGTTTAGACTTGAAAAATTGTTGCTATTCGTCAGATATGACGAGGAATATTATTTCATTTCATGCTTTATACAAACAATGTTTTAGATATTCTTTTGATAATGAGAATGGTTCTATTTATGCTTATTATAATGGTGTATTTTATTTTTAAACATTACCTTATGATGGCGTATATGAAACTGTGATGGTTGTAGAAAATTTAGGAAATAATGTGTTGCAAATTGATTCATCTAATGGTTTAGACAAAGCATGCTTGTGGCATTGTCGTCTTGGACATGTCAACAAGAAGCGCGTTTCCCAACTCCAAAAGGATGGAGTGTTGGAATCATTTAACTTAAGGTTAGATCATACTTGTGAGTCTTATTTTCTTGGAAAGATGCCAAATCAGCTTTCACTGGGTCTTGTGAAAAAGGTGAAGGATTGTTGGATCTCATACATGAGGATGTGTGTGGGCCCTTCAGCTCCAACACAAGGGATGCAAATCAATTTTCTGTGTCTTTTACCGATGATTATAGAAGATGTGGATATATCTACTTAATCAAGCATAAGTCAAAACCTTAGAAAAGTTCGAAGAGTTCAAACATGAAGTCCAAAATCGATTGAGTAGGAAGATCAAGATGCTCATATCTGATATAGGTGGTGAGTATCTTAGTATCGAGTTCCACGACTATCTTAAGGAATGTGGCATTGTTTCACAATTGAC